ATTACATAATTTATCAGCTTTTATGTTTGCATATTTATTAATTATTCCATCATTTTTTATACACTTTTATTTACAACCTGCCATGTAAATATTTATAAAACAATTCCTCCAACCCTCTTAAGAAATTGACCGTGTAAATAATTATATTATTTTAAATAATACAATCTAGTTTAGTGCCTAGGACACTTTAAATTTGACAACAATGTAAAACTACCAATTAAGTATATAATCCTAAAACACCAAACAATATAAATAAAAACTTTTTATCAATTTCAATACAACTTCTTAAAAGTACTCCAAATTGATATAACAAAAAATATCAAGATTAAAATTCAAACAGGAAACAAACTCAAAACCAAATATCTCCAATTCCATTGATTTAAATACTACAACTCTAAAGTCATATCCCAAATTGACAGTATCAACTGCCAAAACAATGAGTATAGCAGCTCTGCTAAAATTGCTCAATTGTTATTAGAAAGACAGTACTAAACAAATTCTTTTTCCTCTTCAAACAAAAGCAAAGATGGCTCACAACTCCCTCAGTCTAGTTGCTGATGATGAACCTCTTATGTCAAATTTCATTAACCAGCCTTCAAATCTATTACCCCACCGTCAACCCAAACCCAAACTTGTAATCCTTTTTCTTATGATCTAGCTGCAAAACATACAATTTGGAAACTAATTAAGTAAATTACTAAATAAAATAAAGAAGATTCTACTGTTGAAACTCTCATATAAAACAATACCACAGGCCTCAGGATGCTGCCCATGGCCCCTAATAAACAGCCAGTACAGACTAGGTTTTCAATAAAAATTGCATTTAAAAAAGAGGAAAAAGGAAACAACTAGCGAGTGGAATATATTCTCTGTTATCTACAGAGCCCCTCACCTCGGCAGAAAGAACAAAATTAAGACCCATATTTAGTCGTTCTTCAAGAAAAGCAGCAGTGCAACCATTAGAATCAATCTTTCCCCTAAGACGACACTGAAACAACCACGAAGAGTCAAAGTAGAAAATATTAGTTACATTCTTCTTATTCTTTAAAACAACGTGACACTTCAAAATAAAGAATCTAAGTTAATGAACATATATATAAAATATATATATCCATAACTGGAACTTTTAGATTCAAAAGATGACTATCACCAATTATCTTCAGTAATTTAGACAAGATCAACAGACTATGAGTAACAAATGCTATACTTACGAAAGTACCAAAGGACCACAAAGACAAGTGGAGCACCAAGTCCACTAGCTTGCGCCCATTAAGAAATGGTCTTATCATCATATTTATCAGATTTAGCAAAAGCTAAGATTATGAGCATTGACATCAATTCAATTAAAAGATTTACAAGTGTCATGACCAAACCAATCAATCTAGCTAACTGTTCAGAGACTCAGGTACTCAGCGAGAAGTGAAATGACCAACTGGCATTTTTCTCTCAATTAATTTTCCTCCTCCTGGGATCATAAAAACTTATTTATAGGGAGAAAGACCAGTAATCACGGATGCACACTTTGCAATGACTTATCATATCAGGGCACACTTTGAACAGAAATGACAGTCAAACTTCGGCTATCTTTCAACTGCTTGTTACATGCATGCAATAAGATAAAAACGTTGCTTTTGGTAAATGGTTAGTATCTGAACTCATGCAATTTGACATTCAGCAATCTTTCAGCTAATTTTTAAATGAAGAGACTATGAGAGGACTATGATACAAGTAAAACAGAATACTTCATCAGACTTAGTGTTTGTCGTCAAGGTGCGTAAAAATACACATGCTACCTAGTAGCCCTTATTGTCCAGTTTATTCACAGCACAAAACCATTACAGGGCATTCTTTCACCTTAGCATTTAAGTGAAATCTTAACAGTACTTAGAAGTGAGTATTAACATCCAATGGAAAAGATTGTGACTTGAATTTCCAGAAAAGAAAAATATTATTAACAAGAATCAAACATGTTGTTCATTCGTCTTACCTGCCTTAGGATGTAATCATAACCAACACTAGCTGTGACATCTCTTGACATATAGTTGTACATGAAATCAGATGCTAGAGAAACCTTAGAAAGAAAAAAGAAAGTCTCAGAAATATAGCAGATGATAAATACAACCAAATTCACTAAGATTAATGTTCTTACCTTCTCAGATACCTTCTGAACATAGCTAAGAGCAACCATTCCTGTGCTAGCAACTTGTGCTGTTCCAACCTACGAAGAATTTTTTAATTGGTCCGAGGTGAGAATCCCATGTTTAACCAAAATAAAAAGTTAGTCAATCAATCATAAATTTTTCTCTACAATAAAAAATTAATAACCACATGGGGGCAAGGAGAACAAGATAAGTAAATCTTACAACCACAGTCACATTCAAAATAAAAAGGATAACCATGACAAAAGTGCCAGTCCAGTAATGCCTGGCAAAATATCAGCACTTGTTACTCCAGAATGTAGTATCTAAAAAATGGAGATTCCAAACCAGCCATATCCTATCTTCCAAGTAAGACGAGAGAAAATTGAAGAACATTCCCTCCCCTATTAACCAAGCATTAAAAAGAAAACCTGTAATATGAGCATTGATGGTTCTATTGCAGAAATGGTGCATTAAAAAACCAACTGTGCGGAGCAGCAGTGCTTCAGAGTCCCCCATATAAATAATTACCATCTTGGAACATTAATTTAATGACCCAAAAAGCTATAGGTGCAGCCATTCTCATTCCTTGCATTTCAGATATTTAACCAACAGCCAAAACCAAAAATCAATCTAGAATATGCTCAGATTAATTGAAATACTATCTCAATTAGGAACCATGCAAAAATTTGCTCTTGAAAACATATATGCAGGCTTGATGTCCTGAATTGAGATACTATGGCAAATTAAACATACAAGCTGATATGTCAGAAGTCACTGGGAAATGAAATGGAAAAATGGTTTCTTGGACATTTTTGTAGAAATATCTGATGAATATCCAGTCTGTGACATGGTCAAGGCAGAGCTAAAAATATCAGCACTAACTAACAACCATTATTGCATGTATTAGAAAAATAAGGAAACAAGTCTAGAAGGCTATACATTAAATATATTATCAGCACCCGAAATTTACAAACTTAATATATCAGCACCTGAAATTTCACAAACTTATACATTAAGATCTTGGTCTTACCATCTTATCCGTTTCATATCGAGCACCATAACCAATTCCGGACTTTCGGTGCTGACCAGCCCAAAATATCTCACCACCCAGAGACAAGTATGAAGTCACACTCTACAAGAACATTGACAAATTCAGTGACATTGACAATTAGCCTATGGTGACAATTGTACAGTCATTCTCCTAAAATAAGCACATGAGCATCAGAGTGAATCTGCAGAAAGCAATAAAAAATCACACAGCACAATAGAAAGAGTTTATTTAGTACTAAATGTTTAACAACTAGCAGCAGATCACAGCTTGCAAGATTCCTTTTGATAAGGCAAAGGCAAAGTATTTACTTCCTTGTGATATCATTTAATTCGGCTAAAAATAAAACAAATTAACTTCGCCTCTTATTTTATATATTTTTTGAGATAAAATGTATGGTATGATATTTATTATATTTGCACCAAAAGAATGTAAACCCATATTAAAAAGATATTTACATGTCAATTAGAAAGTTAATGAGATCCCCAAAATCATCAATTGTGTAAAGAGGATGACCCATTACTAAAAGACCAAGGGTCTAGAACCCTCCACCTCTAACCCTCTCAAAATCATCATCCACACTACCCAAAAGATAGCAAGAGGAATAAGACTCACACTATCCCTCCCTCTACTAATACCCCTCCAAGCTCAATCTCTTCCCTAATCGACCCAATCATCACCCAACTAACCCAATCATCAACCAACTAATCTCTAATAGCCCGTAGGTCACTGTCCATAATTTATATGCAATTGGGCACCAAAAAAGAATGTGATTATAAGACTCCGCCTTCCTCTTGCATAAAAGCAGCCGTTAGACAACCTTTCCCATCAATTTCTCAATAGTAAAGATACACCCACGACCTGCTTTCCACGCCAAGAAAGCAACTTCGGATGGAGCATTAATCTTCCATATTTGCCTAAAAGGAAAATTGGTAA